TTGAACAGATGTTTGGAGGTGATGAAATCATTTTCCAACATGACAATGCATCGTGCCATAGGACAAAAATAGTGAAGGCATTCCTTGGAGAAAGACACATTCAGTCCATGTCTTGGCCTGCAAATAGTCCAGATCTCAACCCAACTGAAAACCTGTGGTGGAAATTGAAAAAAAAAATGGTCCACAAGAAGCTCCGACCTGCAAAGCTGATCTGATAACTGCTATCAAAGAGAGTTGGCARCAAATTGATGAAGAAWACTGTTTGTCACTCATCAAGTCCATGCCTCAGAGACTGTAAGCCATTATAAAAGACAAAGGTGGTGCAACTAAATACTAGTGATGTACTTTGAATGGTCTTTTGTTCATCTGTTTTTATGATTCCATACTTTTTTCCTCAGAATTGAGTGATTCCATATTTTTTCCCTGTGCTTGGTCAATAAAAGTAACGTTCACTGACTTCCACAATGTTTTCTCTTCATTTCTTTGAGTGTTCCTGAAAGCCAACAAGTTCCACTTTGGAATGARCTTATTATTGTYTCATGTTTTWGATCTGAGTTTGTTTTACTGAATGAAATGTCTGAAAGAGTGCTCATCCAAGACTGCTGATTCCATTCTTTTTGACAGGGGTTGTATTTGCCCGTTGCACAAGCTTTAGAATGAAATGTTGGTTTGTTTGGGTGTTCCAGTACCTGTCCAGGTACTGCAGGAGGTCTGTCTCTGGACCATCAGGAAGACTGAAGACCTTCTGCAGCAGAGGCAGCAGGTGGACGCCCTCAAACCAGATGTTACTGTTACCTGGCTGGAGACAGAAAACGACACAACCAAACCTCAACTTAGTACCAGAAGACAACTGAAAACCAGTGCTTTAGGACTTCTGAAGCATCTGGTCCAACAAGAACAGTTTTAGGTTTTCAGTTTAAAAATCATTCACTTCCAGTTCTTAACAGAAAATTAGAGTTTAGGTACAACAGGACTAGATGAGGGAAATTAAACAAACATTTCCTATAAATGAGACAGACTGAGTGAAACAAGASCAAATGTCCACATTTTGATAAACATTAAAAGTACAAAGATTGACAGAAGAAGGTTTGCAGAGATCAGACGTCAGTGAGTCAACACTTTGTGGTAAAATATCCCCAAACTTAAACTGAGTAAAACCATAAGGCAGAACAGAATACTGGTTCAGACGTGTAAAGACCAGCTTTATAGAACCAGTTTAAACTTTAGAGCTCTWAAGGTTTCATCTGTCCTGTAACCTTTACTGTAACTGTTAGTCCTGACTGGACGGTACATTCTGAGCTTTCAAAAGCTGCAGCAAATCATAAAATGACAAACTGTTATAGTTCAAATAAACAGAACAAAAGCTAAAATCAACAGAAAAAAATAAACACTGAAATTAGTTCATCTGTTGGTAAATTGGCAAAACAATAGCAGAGGGCTCAAATTAGTAAAAACACCAAACAAACAAAACTGTYCCTAAAAGCTAAAAGAAGCATAAAAAGACAAAAATAAAGTGAGTGAGCTGAAGTGGTCCTGTCACACTACAACCTTTATGACAATTTACGCCATCATATGAAATGTTTTTATGTCTAAAATACTAATAAATGTTATATATTATATAGTTTGTAAGCGTTACAGTAGGTACATGCCTAAGAGGCTTCCAGTTGATTTTTCTAAGGTGCAGATATAAGATTTTTTTCTTCTTTCTGCTACCTTTCATTTTATTTGATATGTATTTTTGCAAGTGAATTTGTTGTTTTTTAAATGAAATGATTTTTTTCATCTTTAACGTAATGTCTTTAAAAGTTTCATAAGTTGTTTAAAACATTGTTTAGGGAACAATGAACTCAATGGAGTTCTATGGAGAAACTAATATAAATCCTGAAACTCGACAGTAACAGTTCTGACAGGACAAGAAGAAGTCAGTGGACTGCAGAAGAAGCAGAAGATGCAGAAGAAGAAGCAGAATGATGGAGCTTCAGAGCATCTGATTAAAGTCACCTGCAGAGCAGAGCTGATCTGGTTCTTGATGTTTTTAATAATGTAGCCTTGGACTCCGGAGTGGCTGCTGGTCCTGAGCAGGAACCTGGAACCACAGCCTGTTACTTTACCAGCTGAGACAAACATCTCTGAGGGCTTCAGAGGGAAAAAGGAGGAACTTACTGGAAGAACCTGTACTTTGCTTCAGTGTCAAACTTATCCATGCTCAGCTGGAACACCTTCAGTCCTCGAGTCCTCTGAGGACAAAACAAAAACAGCAGGGTCTGTGAACACTTTACATAAAGACAAGCTAAACAAAACTGGTGTCAGAACTCACCAGAACATCACTGGGACACATCGTCATGACCTTTATTAGATTCTGAAAGCAGAGAGTGAAATTAGGCTGAGCTGAAGACGAGGTTTGTATCAAAATATATTGTAAACTTTCTTCACCTGAGGAACTGTGAGGAACGTTTTAATCTCCAGCAGATCTGCTGGAAGACTGCAGTCCTCTACCCGCACCAGACTCTTCTCATACAGCTCCTGTGCTCAGAACACACACACAAGTCTGGTCTGTATATCCCTGTGGGGACCTTCCATTAACTTCCATTCATTTTTTTGGTAATTTTATAACCTAACCCTGACCATTTACCCTAAAATTAACCTCACAGGTACAGTACCTACCTGACCCTAAAACTAACCTAAACTTAATTCACAACTTGGTCCTAAACCTAACCCCCAACCTGTAATTTGCATTTGGACCGATGCATGTTCGGTCCACACGAGGCAGCTTTTTTTGGGGAAAATTGTCCCCATGATGTAGGAAAAACAAGGCCACACACACCAGTTTGTTTGCCTAACAAAGTAACAGAGCTCCTTTAAATCCATAGTTGAAAGATGGAAAGGTGATGTCATCACAGCAAAGCAGCTCATCAAGCTGAGCACACATCTCCACAGTGAAGCATGGTGGTGGCAGCATCATGCTGTGGGGATGATTTGTTCATGAAACCCAGTAAATATGGCTGCCCTGACTCTAAAGGTTTCCTCTGGACAACCTTTGCAGTAAACTCCTGAATGTTGCAACCATTTGAAAATCAATGAAAACAGAATGTGTTTCAGGGTGTGTTCACACCAGCCCTGTTTAGTCCGCATTAACCAAACTCCAGTTTGGTTTCCTAAAACGTTTGGTTCTTTGGGGAGGTGTGGATGTGTAATCAAACTCTGGGCCGCCTACAACCCTACGTCTCATCTAAGGGACTAGGTGTTCTGCTCAAGGACAAACAATATGTGGGCAAGGCAGGGAATCAAATCTGTGACTTTGTGCTCCCAAGACGACTGTTCTACAACTGCACCACAGCTGCCCTTTAACCATAACTAACCTAACCTGATTCTAACTAACCTAACCTGACTCTAACTAATCTAACCTGACTCGAACTAGTCTAACCTTACTCTAACTAGTCTAACCTGACTCTAACTAACCTAACCTGACTCTAACTAGTCTAACCTGACTCTAACTAACCTAACCTGACTAACTAACCTAACCTGACCCTGACTGCCCTAACCTGACTCTAACAAGTCTAACCTGACTCTAACTAACCTAACCTGACTCTGACAAGTCTAACCTGACTCTAACTAACCTAAGCTGACTCTAACCTAACCTGAATCTAGTCAGTCTAACCTGACACTAACTAACCTAACCTGACACTAACTAACCTAACCTGACTCTAACTTGTCTAACCTGACACTAACTAGTCTAACCTGACTCTAACTAACCTACAATGATTCTAACTAACTTAGCCTGACTAACTCACCTTACCTAACTCTAACTAACCTGACTGTAACTACCCTAACCTGACTAACTAATCTAACCTGACTCTAACTTACCTAAACTGACTGTAACTAACCTGACTTTAACTAAGGTAACCTGACTCTAACTAGTCTAACCTGATGCTAACTAACCTAACCTGACTCTAACTAACCTTACCTGACTCTAACTAACCTTACCTGACTGTAACCAACCTGATTAACTAATGTAACCTGACTCTAACTAGTCTAACCTGACTAACTAAACTGAGTCCAACTAAACATACCTGACTCTAACTAACCTAACCTGACCCTAACTAACCTAACCTGACCCTAACTAACCTTACATGACTCTAACTAACCTGACTCTAACTAACCTAACCTGACTAACTAACCTTATCTAACTCTAACTAACCTGACTGTAACTACCCTAACCTGACTCGAACTAACCTAACCTGACTCGAACTAACCTTACCTAACTGCAACCAACCTGGCTCTAACTAATGTAACCTGACTCGAACTAGTCTAATCTGACTAACTAACCTGACTCCAACTAAACATACCTGACTCTAACTAACATTACCTGATTCTAACTAACCTAACCTGACCCTAACTAACCTTACATGACTCTAACTAACCTGACTCTAACTAACCTAACCTGACTAACTAACCTTACCTGACTCTGACTAGTCTAACCTGTTTCTGACTTGTCTAACCTGACTCTAACTAACCTAACCTGATTCTAACTAACCTAACCTGACTTTAATTAATCTTAACCGACTACAACATAACCAGATTCTAACTAACCTTACCTGACTCTAACTAGTCTAACCTGACTCTAACTAACCTGACCTGACTCCAGCTTACCTAACCTGACTCTAACAAACCTTACATGACTCTAACTAGTCTAACCTGACTCCAACTAACCTAACCTGGCTTTAACTAACCTAACCTGACTCTGACTAACCTAACCTGACCCTGACTGGCCTAACCTGACTCTAACTAACCTAACCTGACTTTAATTACCTAACCCTGACTAACCTAACCTGACTCTAACTAACCTAACTAACTAGTCTAACCTGACTCTAACTGACCTAACCTGACTCTAACTACCCCTGACTCTAGTCTAACATGACTCTAACTAGTCTAACCTGACTCCAACTAACCTGACTAACTAGTCTAACCTGACTCTAACTGACCTAATCTGACTCTAACCTAACCTGTTCCTGACAAGTCTAACATGACTCTAACTAGCCTAACTGTACTCTAACTAGTCTAACCTGACTCTAACTAGTTTAACCTGACTCTAACTAACCTAACCTGACTATAACTAGCCTTACCTGATTCTAACTAACCTAACGTGACTCTGACTAGTCTAACCTGTTTCTGACTTGTCTAACCTGACTCTAACTAATCTAACCTGACTCTAACTAACCTAACCTGACCTCTAACTAACCTAACCTGACT